GATGTTGCACGTGCTTCTAGAGTTGAAGAGACAATAAGGAATACGATATCTATAAATTCTACTTCATAAGTAAGAGCAATACAAGCTGGTGGCAATAGACCAAGAGAACTTTAATTAGAAGATGAAGAAGAGGAAGAAGTTGATGTGGAAGAAGAAATGTTAGAGGATAATGTCGATAATTACAAATCAGATGACAATAAAGATGAAGTTGAACTTCCAAGTGAAGATGAAGAAAATGATTATTGAGTCTTAAAGAACGGATATTTTACCTTAGATTTTATTAGCTTGATTGTTTGAATTTCAAGTTTAAACTTTGTCTCTCATTGTCTATGTTGATTGTATTGCATTAATGACTTGATGTTGAACAGTTGAGAACTTGAGATGTCCTTCTTTCTCATTTTTGTTGGTATTTGGCATATTAATAGCATTTTTTTAATCATTTAATTAAATTTGAAGTTTAGGTATATTACATTCTTCAATTTTCTGATTTTTCAAAAAAACAAATGCGCGTTGCTTCAAAAAAGGTGTGTGCCTCGCCTTGCACCTGAGGCACATTTAGGCCTGTATCTTGCACTTTGAAAACACGCCCCCCCCCCCCCACAATTTAACATACCCCAATCTAATTCTATGGTTGAAACCCCTCTACTTGCAATGGATAACTAAAAGTCAACTGACTAAAGTATATATACATATTTCCTTTTTGATCAATAACCAGATCAAAAGAGCTCCATTGATAAGCTAAGAAAATACAACAATCTAGTTTGCAACAAGAAACGAAAACTAGACCTTAAACCTTTCACATAAATTTAATGAAAAAACGTAAGATGTACCAATATATTAAAAAAAAAGGTCACTGCCCATTGATGGAAAATGTACCATAGATAATATAAAACACATGTGACAACTGTCAAATACATCATCTTGGCATCAATGCTCTCCCCAATGCATATTTGCTCTAACAACCCATCCAGCTAGATAATCTGTTGAAGAATTTGAACCTATCCAGTACATGTGAATCCCCATCAACCCATGTTGATCACCCATAATCTTGAGCTTTTAATAGGGATTCTGCTCTGAAAGGTCAAAGCCTATGGGCCCCTAGAGGACCAGCAGACTCCTACCTGTTGAATCACTAAAGCTCCTCCTACTTCAATTAATCCAGGTTGCCTAAGGAACGACCATCAGCATTAAAATTTATTATTCCCTATGAACCAAGATCATTTCTATATTACAATTCTTGATGCCAACAAGTTGGCATTTGGCAATACAACACTACCCTTGATGCAGAATACAGATCTCTAAATAAGAAAAAAAAAAAAGAATAGAAGAACCTAGGAGGCTAGGAGTCAAAACACCAGGACTTCTATAGGAAATTAGGAATCAGAACCTAACAACTTCCTGGAAAAAAAAAACAACACTGAACAAAATTTAGCAACAACACCAAAGAGAACAAATCCAAAAGAAAAATTTTACTTTAGGCTCAGTTTGGAAGTAGTACAAATACAAATGTAGATTGCAAAACCTTGTGTGTTGTATTATTTTGTATGTATTTGCTTTGTACTCCTTCCAAACTGATGCTTAAGACTCAGTTTGGAAAGACTACAAATACAAATATGTACGGTACAAATACATACAAAATAATATAAAATACAAGGTTTTGCACCCTAGATATTTGTATTTGTACTCCTTCCAAACTGAGCCTAATACTTTTCCTCCTCATTTCTTTACATCATAGATCAGAAAAAAAGAATAAAGAAAAGGAAAGAGAGAAAAAATAAAGATAAAACATAACGGTTCCAAAAAAAAAAAATAAGAAAGGACTAAAAGGGAGTGGGATTGGCATCCTCCTCTATTGATATTTATAATGAGAAGAGGTTACAAAATTACAAAACTATCCTCATAAAGGTCAAGGACCCAAATTCCCTTATACTTAAAGTTTGTTCTTAATCATTACACATTTGCTTTTTGACAATTGTTCATTACCATTACACATTCTCTCTACAATCTCTATACTCCTCAAGTACATCATAGATATCAAACATGCTCAAACCTGCTGAGAATCTCAATGAGCTTGGGCTTTACCCTTGTTAAGAAGTCTAATAATTGATTCTTCCTAGTTACATAGGGAAGCAGATCTCTTCAGTTTCAAGTTTCTCCATTAAAAAATAGCAACCAACCTTTATATGTTTCATTTGGTCATATTGGATAAGGTTATGTGCAATATCAATTGCTGCCTTATTGTCATAATACTATTCACATGCTAAGAATACGTAAATTTGCAAGAATATGCTTTACCCATATTAGCTCAAGCGAATGTGATATGGCCCTACCCTGTCTCTGCACTAGATCTAGCTACAATGGATTGTTTCTTACTCCTCCAAGTAACTAGGTTGCCTCCCACCAAAGTATAGTAGTCTGATATAAACCTACTATCAACAATTAATCCTACCCAATCAACGTTAGTATAACCTCCACTTGTAAATCACCCAGATTAGAAAACAATAGCCCATTTCAAAGTGTGGACTTTAGATATCTATTTTCAATGCTACAAAATTTGGACCACTTCACAATTTGTGCATATCATCCTTGCATAGGGGCCATGCTATTCTTCTCTGTATTGTTCCCAGTGTTTTAAAAGCGCAAGGTGCAAAAAAGGCATAGGGGTCAATTTGCCTGAGGCGCAAGGCAAGGCGCGCGCCTTTTTGAAGCAAGGCACAAAAATGCTAAAAAATCAAAAAATGTCAGAAAATTCAAAAAAAATGCCAAAAAATTCAAAAAATATCAAAAAACATTAAACATGATATTACTAAATAATATAAAGTTAAATTTTAAAATAATGTTTTAAAATATCTATTATCTAAAAATAAAATACATAAACATAAGATGTAAAGCATATTCAAATGAGAATTTAAAAATAAAATCAAACATATAAAGCATTTTCAAGCATGTAAAACCTCTAATCTCTTTTTTCACTCAATTGCAGTACTTCACACATAGCTAATGTAGTGTAAAACATATTACATTCCTGATTCTACGAGCCACCTTTGTGCCACGTCCCTCAAGGCAAACCCAAACAAGTCCACGTTAGGTCTTAAATTCTTAGTTTTCACACAAAAAATAATGATTTTATAGTTTTAATTGCTTTTTAAGAAGACATTTTATTAGAATGAATGAATGAACAACATTACCAAAAAAGCGCCAAATTTTCAAAAGGCACACGCCTGGGCTGAGGCGCAAGGCACATCAAGCGCACGCCTAGGTGCACCAAGCATGCGCCTTTTGAAAGGGCTGCACCTAGGACCTAGGCGAGGTGCATACCCTGAAATGCGCCTTGCCTGTGTGCCTAGGCACGCCTTTTAAAACACTGATTGTTCCAATTCTATCGGATGTCACCTGTTGAGGATTTTGTGCAAATTTGTTAGTTACTTTTGTTTATTATTTGTTTAGATAGGAAGTGGGGACCTAATGCAGGAGCTGAAGAGGCAAAATTGGAATTTTATGAAAATTTATGTATTTCTGTATTTTTGGACATTAGGGGTATTTTTGTCATTTTGCAATTTTCTATTGGGTCCAATGGTAAGAGTTTATTTGTCTAGTTATGGTTTGTTTATTTTTAAAAGTTCAGTCATTGCGCAAGTAGGATTAGAGTTATTGAGTCTTCTTTGAATTTAAATAGGATATGACAGCTTTAGTTTGAGTTCTACTAGGATTATTGAGTCTAACAGTTTGCTCCTAGGATTATTACGAGTTTAGAGTCTATAAATATGTATGGACGTTTTACACAAAGGCAATGAAGTTTATTGAATTCTCTTCGGCTTATGCTAACTATGGTGAGTGATTCCCATGCCCTAGAGTGATTCTATGCACCCTGTGAGTGATTCCAAGTATTTTCTCTCTTCTCTCTCCCTATTTTCTCTCTTATTCCACCAAGAAGCCATTACAGCTAACAAGAGCATAACATTCTGATCAAAGAAAACCATTCAAAGGACTAGAACTGAACTGGTCCTACATCAGGACCACAGCATACTTGTTGGGACCCTTTGGAGTGATGTTTTTAAGCTTTTTATGCAGTTTTATGTGGGTAATTTTTTCCATAATCCATATAATATAAAATAAGGTACAATAAGGGATAAAATTGAAATTTGAAAAATTTTAAATATCCTGAATATTTTCCCTTACTAAACCTGAAAGAATTAGTGGAGAGGTGGAATAACTCAACCCCAAATTAAGGGGTAAGTTAATAGGTAAACCTGAGAAGAGTTTTAGTATTTGACCAATACCCTAGGCAGGCATAAGTTATCCTTTATAAAATGACAGCACATTGCCTTAATAGATGCTAGACAAGTAATAGTTTGCATTATGTTCATACTTTGTGTAGATTAAAATCAATCCTCCCAGGGAACCGAACCATCTTTTTCAATAAATAGATATCATTTACCTCTTTTCAAAAAAGACAAAATAAAATTTTGGGAGGGGAGAGAAGACTTTCATCATCAACCGAATAATTTCTATCGAGTCATTAATGATTTCAGACACCAAAAAAATTTCTATCCTATGAGAGGATTAAATAAATTACCTAGATAGACAACAAACAACCATAAAAGCATCGAACCTAATTCTTCAAAATTGAGCGAAATGATGTAGCCAAAATCAAATCCCTCTATGACACTAGTTCCTTCTTTCCTTTTCTTTTTACCCAAGTAACATTAAAATACTCTGGTTCATTCCAGTGCCTATTATGAACATGGAAACTGATTATCCACTAGTTGCAAGTATCAAGATTGCATCTTTCACTTATTTTGCGGGCTCTCTGTAGTTTAGTGGGAAATAAGGAACTACATTTTCTTTTTCTGGAAAAGCAATCGATTAATGAAAAAGAAAAAAAATAACCTTAGGGATTACCGTGACACATTTTGGAATTTACAAGAATATAAGACATTTTTGTGATTATGCTAGACAAGCTCTTAAGAAGTAAGAAAAATAGAATATATAAAGTATACCTAGAGAATATGCCAAAAGCATACATCAAATACTCGTATGGTGTTGCTTGTCAGGATGTCCCCGCTTGGCCCTACGGCGTGTATGATTTGAATGGGCACTTCGAGTGGGTTTTTTAGCCTTCTTACTGCAATACCAATAAAATAAATATCCTAAACTAACTTCAAGTATAAAACAATATTAAAAGGTAGAAAAGAACAATAAAGATGAAAAAAGCCATAACACATCCTATATCAATGACTTAGAAATGCAAAACCAACAAATAAAAGAATAACTAACCAGAAGAAAGTTGAAAACCACTTAAACAGAACAATTATTGGAAGAGCCAATAAAACAGAGGCCTGTAAAAATTTAAGAAAAATATTAGATGCCAAGCTAAAGCACATGCAACCTCTCCAGGAAGGATGATTGACAGACAAGATATGTATAAATGGCTACAAATTCCTTACCAAAAACCAAACCATTCTTTCAGTTGCAAGAGGTCGTGTTAACTCATGCTTTTTAAAATTTTCCTGTAAATAGCCTTGGACCTTAACAAAACGAAGAAAATATTGTGAGATGCTTACTGTACGTCCAAATAAAATATCAAAGTTAGACTATATTATATTCTTCCTCAAACTAACATAGTATATCCAACCATAACAAAGCAGTCTGTTCATGCTTTTGTGTTCTTCCTTTAGGAGACTTTGATATGTACCATTTTCTCAATTGTTCTTTCTAATTAATTTCTTCCTTCATGTTGCTACCCAATCCAAAAATAAAAAAGAAGGGGCAAGCACTAAGCAAGAACCTTATAGTTGAGTAATAGTGAACCATACAAAAGAAAAGGTGCACATACACCAAACTATAGAAGGCATAAGAAAGCCAGAGAGATCAGAAAATAAGGGTTGCACTCTCATTACAAGCACACCAAGAAAAAGGTTTAGAAGGAAGGATTTCAAATATATATTGGTTTTTCCATACATTCAGCTTATCACAACTTGAAAATTCCATAAATAAATGATCTCCCAATCCTTTTTCTTCCCCAAACCCTGACTGAGAACAGTGCACCTATGTATAATACAAAACAAGATGTGAATATGCGATTTCAAATCTTGTATTTGTCTATGTTTCAGGTTTCCATATATAAATCTGTGCAATTCTAGATTTACATTTTACTTTTAATATTTGGGAAAGTAGAAACATAATTATATGTTAACAAGGACCATAAACAAGAAATTTTAGGCTTCTTTGTCAAAAATTGTAGGTTCTTACACAACGGGCACTACCTCGTGAACTAGCTTTGTATTGCCTGTGGACTTATTTCTACCATTACTTTCTCACTATAAAATCATAAATTCAAGATACCCAAAATTTATTCGATCAGTTCTCATGAACACTTCCAAGAAGACGAAAACCAGACAAGTGGATTTCAACAAATCAACAAGAAAAGGTAGAATTATAATAAAAAGACATTATCCAATAGTGGTCCCAGCTATCTTGGGATTTGGGAGGGTGGACTGGATGTGGATCTAACCTTTGGCACTTATTTGCACAAAGTGGCCACTCTCAAACTCAAACCCCAATTTTTCATGCTTGTCAGCTCAAGATTTTTACCATTACACCAAGCAAGCAATTGCTCCTAAAAGACAGAATCACAATAAGATGTTAAAAACAATTAGAATTTCAAAAGAGTTTACCTGATGATGGTATATTCTTGAAGATTTGAGGAATTTTCCATAAGCATGAACAGCTTTCTTAGTATAAGGTTTCAATGCAACTCGTGCTTTATCAACATGAGGTCTTGCTGCAATTGCAACCTGATCGAGGTAAGGTCTGGTAAACTTCTTAGCTTCCTGCCAATAATGAAGACATTTCATTGGAATCATGGGGTGAAAAAAGAAACAACTTAACCATTACTAAACATACCTGAATGTAAGGATCTGCAAATTCTTGTACTCTGTAAACATGTGGTGTTATGGAATTCTTGGATGTCTCATAAACCTCAGCAGCTTTGGTGGTTATTAATTGAACATGTGGTTCAACATAGGTTGTAAAGGACAGCCATTGATCTTGGAAAGCTGGGATCCACCACTTCACACATTAAAACAACCATCAGATCATCCAATTCAACCACAAAGTATACAATATAGAACAAGAACCAGAAAACAACTGTTACATGGGATCTTCTTTCAGAAGGCTCTTGTAGGCAGAGCATACCCATTTTACATGAAGCATATGTCATTCTTTTAAATAGATAACAAAAAACTTTAGTAGAATAGGAAGAACATACCTAGGCACCCACTGATATATTTATTTTAAGAAAACAAGAAACATCATTACAAAGCCATTTTTTTTATCAATAACGCATTTCATTAATCAATCAGAAATAATAATTACAAAGAAGGAGATAAACTTTCTTATCTCCCCCAACTGAGGCTTAAGCCCCCATGAATAAGAATTAGAATTACAACTGAGCCCAGAACATAGATTCCCTCGTCACCCCTTGTTTGGCTAACCCATCAGCAAACAAGTTAGCAGATCTCTTCACCCAGCTGATCTTGACTTCCATGTCTTTAACCAGCCACCTAAACTTTCTCCTTTCATTGCTGTAATTCCATAACCCAATATTGTCTTTATTCAGCCACCCTACAACCACCTCCAAATCCCCTTCAATTACAAGTCTTCTTATATTCAATTCCTTTGCTCTTTGGACACTGATGGTGTGCAATCTGGTCACTCCTAGTTGGCACTCGTGTGGCTTCCCAAGAAGTACCTGAGACGAGGAAGAAGAAGAATCCTCGGGGGGTTCGCCCGACGGGAACACTCCAACGATTAAGTCAGTATTCTGAGTAAGAAGCAAGGAGAAGATAAAAGCTAAGAGTGAGGTAGCGCAAGAGATTTTCAAGATCATCCCCCTGTTCCTTGATACTAGCTCCTTATAACAGAAATCCGTTGTATCAGGCCCACAGGCCTCTGACAGGGCGGGTATAACCGCCACTGTCAGCCTACCGCAGCCGTTACTGACGGGGCTGAGGTGGCACGAGCGGGGCCATCGCCGCAGTGTACGTGCCTATCAGGTGTAAGGCACCCTCTGAAGGTGGCAGACATGACACTGTCTGACGAGGGATATGGCCGTTGTTCCCAGATTTGTCGGGTACGGTGGTTGGCAAAAAGTCTTCCTGCGATGTGACAGACTACCCTTCCCCGAGCTACCCTGTGTCGGGTTATCCCGTAACCGGCGTGCTGCCTGAGGCAAGCTATGCCGAGTTGGCTGACCCGCGGTGTCTATACCTCGAGGTGTCTAGAGATGGGTCGGTGCGTTCCTGTCTAGGAGTGGCCCGAGGTCTATTGAGAGGAGCTCGGGCCTCAAGAGAGGTCAGGGTACCCCGAACTCGGGACGCCCCGAAGTGCCTTAACCCCGGGGATGAGGTGCAGGTAAGGTGGCTCCCAACGAGTAGCTTATCCGCCCAGTTGCCGAGCTGAACTCGATGGGACCTTCCCTCCGAGTTGTGGTTGCATTCGTTGCGCTGTCATGTTGAGTCACTGTTTCAGCAGGGTCACGCCCACGTGTACCCGTGCTGCGAGGTCGGGCCAAATCACCCTCCATCAGACACCTTCCATAACTGCATAGATCTGTCTCTGAGAGAATCACCCACCCCAATTGGTCCTGAGAACAGGGCTGAAACATTCCCATTCTCATCCCTAAACACACCCCCAGCCCCTAAATGCCCAGGTTACATCATTACAAAGCCTTGGGTGATGAGAAAGTAAAAAATCAGACCCAACAGACCATTTTTGAACATCCAAGAGCTCTGATAATATTAAATTTTTTATCAGAAACAGTAACTTTCATTAATAAAATAAAGGAAACCAATCACCCCAACAGGAGTGCTGACCCCACACATCAAGCCCCTATTACAAAGCTGCCCAGAAGCAATCCACACTGGTTGAACCTTGTTTAGCTAAGCCATCAGCCAAGGCATTGGTTGACCTTCTAGCCCAAATAAATTTTACAGCAAAGTCCCTTATCAGCCACCAAATTTCCCTCATATTTTGTCTGTAACTCCAGTTCTCCAAACTTCCTTCCTGCATCCAACCTACTAACAACTTGGAGTCCCCTTCCACTTCAATCCAATGGAGACCCAACTGCTTAGCTAATCCCAGCCCATGGAGAAGAGCCAATATCCCAGCTCTTAAAGAATCTCCCGCCCCTATGTCCCTGAGAAAAGGGCTAGTACATTTCCTTCTTCATCTCTTAGAGCTCCTCCTATCCTGGACAGTCCCAAGTTGCCAAAGTGAACTCCCATCAAAATTCAGCTTAAATCTTTGACGTGAAGGTGGCATCCAAGTCTCCTGGATTACAGATTTAGGTCTTGAGGAGTTTGCTACTACATTCCAGCCCTTAGTTATATCATCAACAGAGAACTCTTTGTATAAATCCAGCACTTTTACCCAATGTGCTACCTTGATGGTTATGTTGTCAATCAATTCTTCCTTTGCCACTCTTGTTGCTCTCCAAAGAGTTCTCCTTTTCTTCTGCTATCTATAGAAGCTTGCATCAAATTGTCCTGCCACACTAGGGATCCATCTGCAACTAAAAAGAAAATAGAACCATATCCAAATACAACTAACACCCAGCAAGTCAGTCTACAATGTCCCAAGCATCTTTCTTATTTAGTGTGTTTATCCCAGTCCTCGTAGAGTCCCTCCATTCTAGCTTAGACAAAGCTTCTGATACATTCTTAGGAATGGACTAGGCTGAAATGGAGGCTAGGAAGGAATAGTAGGAAGGGGACAAAAAGTTGTGAGAAAAGTGTTTGGAAATGCAATGAGCAGTACATTACTTCTTACCCTTTCACACTGCAATAGATAGGTGAAGGTCAGAGAAGGAAGGTACTAGTGATGGTGGTATGGGACGTATCCTCTCTTTAGTGATTGGAAGTGTCGAAGGCTCATCTAGAGACGGGAGAACAAGTTGTGCATGTCTTTACCTTTGTCATTGGTACCACCTCTAAAGAACATAAGAACATATGTGTAGTAAACACAGGAGGACTAGGAGGAGGTGGAGTAGGGATGAAGGAGCTAGGAAAAGAGGACGACTAAATTACAGGGACCAAAGGAGTTGAAGAAAGGCTAACACAAGATTCAACAGAAGCTGACAAGCAAATAGGGAAAGCAAACAATTCGATAAAGGGATCCCCCTCAGAAGAATGGCCACAAAAAGGAGTGTTTAGAAGAGAGTTTGGACTTCAGAAGAGGGTTTCATGATCATGAATTGAACAGTGTTGTAAACCAATTACAAAGCTTGGAAGGAGTGTGTTTAGAAGATGGTAAAAGGGATATGAGAATTTGGACCCTATCACCTTAACATGTAATTCCTTTTTCTCATCCTTCCTCTTTTCCTCTTAGGGAGATATGGAGTACTCATATCCCTCCTAGGGTGGGTGGGTGATGCAGGGAAATGTTTCTAAAAAGAATTAATACTTATGAGCTACTGCAAAGAAAAAACCTAATTGGTGCCTCTCTTCCCACTAGTGCTCCTTCTACAAAGTTAATGGTGGTGAGAATTGCTATCACTTATTAATCTCCTTTTTCTTTTTCAATTTGGAATTGGTTCTTTTCTTTGTTTGGGTGCAGGTGGAACTCTCCGTCTTAATGTACAAAGCTTGTTTACTCCTACTTTCCTAAGCCAGCCAAAGAAGAGGGGAAAATTGCTTTGGAGATGCACAAGGGCAGCGGTGTGTTGGACAATTTGGAAAGAGAGGAATCATTGAACATTTCTTGGAAAAGAACAAAGTAGAGAAGCTATTACTGAAGTTGTTACTATCATGGTGATCCACTGGGTGAATCATTGAACATTTCTTGGAAAAGAACAAAGTAGAGAAGCTATTACTGAAGTTGTTACTTCAAGCGTACAAAAATGAGAGAAAAAAAAATGCAATTGAGAAACTCCACAACAATACATTCCTCTCTCTTTTCTTTTTGATACAAAGAAGATTTCCTTCTCACTCCTTTCTTTACAATAAGTTGTCATCAATCAAACAAAATCCTGAATGTAGACAGCCTTAACCTTTTTGGGTTTTGTATACGAGAAGGGAACCATAGTCAATCAAATTGACTATTTGACTGTAGACAGTTTTTATCCCTTTGTTCTTCATTTTCATTTGAAAAGAACCATAATCAGCCCTTGGGAATAAGACTGTAGATGGTTTAATCCCTAACCTATCTTGATAGAGGGACTACAATCAACCAAGTAAAAACACCTGGTTGTAAATGCTTTCTTTCCCTCTATTTCCTTTCTTAGAAGTAAAAAAGAAAGAGAGAAGATGCATAGCAAAAGACGCATAATATGAAGTATTTACAGAGACAACTTTCCTTTACCTACCTGTATTAGGGAAATTTCTTTTTCTCTTCCCTGTCTTCCCCTGAGAACTTCTCTTTTCTTCTCTCTTTATCTTGGCTTTTCTTAAGAATCTCTAAGAGTGGTATGTTCTAAGACACAATTTTCTCCAAAGAGGCCTCCAGTTCCCCTCTAAGGAACTTAAATAGGGAGTGGGGTAGTTATGCAACTACCCCCTCCCCCTAGGTGAATGACACCTAGCCTTCCCACTTAAAGAGAGGGAATTCCCGTACGAGACACCTTATTTAGTTTTGATGATTTAGCTAGAATACTAGCCAACCCACTAATTTGGGATATTAGCTATTTCAAGTTTATTTGGGTTTGTTCAAAAAAAAAAATTGCTTTCAACATGCAATAGGAGAGAAAGTCTCAGCAAAGTCAACCCCATACATTGACTGTACCCCTTTGCTGCCAACCATGCCTTATACTGATCAAAACTACCATCAGCAAACTGTAAATCAGAAACCACCTACTCTTGTCTCCCCACCATTAAAACTTTAAAAATTCCTCTCATCAGCTCTCTTTAACAATTTAGCGAATATCTCAACACCCAAAATAAATAGCTAAGAAAACAAAGGATCCCCTTGTCAAAGCCCTCTAGTTGCTTTAAAGAAATCCTTTGGGGAGCCATTAATGAAAATTGAAAATGAGTGGTCTTCAGGCATACCATCATCCAATTAATTCATCTTGCCCCAAAACACATCTTTTCCATCACCAACTGAAGATAACACCAATAAACATGATTACTGAAGATAACACCAATAAACATGATTATAAGCCTTCTATAGATCCAACTTAAATACAAATAAAAACCAAAAAATAATAATAATAATACACGTAAAAGTAGAATGTTATCCCAGCTATGTCTTGAATCTGGATCCATTAATTCATATTCAAGCAAGAGAGATGAGTACACAACAGGAACCGTAGAGCATGGTATTGCAGCCCACATTGTGTAGTTACTAGCTAGCCAATATTCTGGTTTAGAACTGATCATATCTTATAACTTAATTTTTATAATAAAAAATAAAATTCATTAAAAATTGATCACATCTCATGACTTTTGTTTTAATTTATAGTAAGCCATAAAGAAAAATCCATTCATACAGTACCATTAGAGAATCATAGGTCAAAAGCTAATGAAACAGAACATAGATTGTAAAAAAAAATGTGGAAAGGAGAACACCTTTTTTTCTCAATTAAAAAGGATAGGACATAATGCCTGCTAACTTACAGTTTTAACTGTTTCAATGTGGGGTAAAGCCCACTTCTCAGCCTGAGCTTTTATCTCTAGAGCCTGAAATAATTCAGAAATGAGAAAATAATCAGTTGATCCTATATATATATATATATATATATATAAAATAGACAAATTCTACAATCATTAGAACTAAGAATTGATCAACTCAGCTACACAAGTCATGCAATAATAAAATACAACCTTTTGGGTGGCAACATCCATGGCAGGCCTCCCATGCTCATTCCACTCTTTTTCCATAAAGGACTGCAAGTTGAGAAAAAGACAATTAAAAAAAGAAGCTTTTCCTTTTCTCCTTTTTTTCTTCTTTTAGTACAAGGGCATAAAGGCCTTGTCATATAAACATAGAAGGAACATGGCATCATTTTACCTGGTAATGAAGTAAATGAGTTGCAAGCCAAGATGGAAGCCATGCACCATGAACCTGATCAAAGTAAGAAGTAATAACAAATATTAATCAAATACATTTACTCAAATTGTCACCAAGACAAGAACTACATGAAATGCAATGTGGAGTAGTGCACCTTCTGCAACTGCAGTAAAAGGGCAATTGCTAATCATTATATCAAAAGTATAACCAACCAAAAATATACAAGAGAAGTAGCAAATGTGTGAATATCTGTGCACATGTATGGAGAGAGAGAATCCAATTGGTTTCAGATTACAGGTTCAATATTTCTGCTTTCTAAGGTTTGCAAAACCTACTGGATCATTAAACCACTGGGTTTCCACACACCATTCTGTCCACTTGAGTTTTACTAGTTTGACCAGTTTTATGCACTTACTAAACCAGGAAGTGAGCTTGCACGAACTAAAAAGTGGTTCCCTATTCCCAGGATTACCCAGTTCTTCTGGTCCAGTTTTTTATAACCATTAACAAAATTAAAGCACCAGCACTTAGTCTTACCTCCAACAATTCTTTAGTCTTTGAAGTGGCCTCCAACTTTGCCTTCATCATCTCTTCCTGTAGTCATTGAAAAGGAAATCAAACTTACATCACCGTCATATAGCATAAGAAAAATAAATAAAACCAAGAGACACCAAGTAACTAAAATACCTCTGCCGCTTTAAGGGCACGCTCAGTTTTACGAATTCTGCTTTTCTGTCCATCATTGATCTTTTGGAGCTGTACCAGCAAGCCAAAGATAAAGTTAACAAACGGAGTAATGTCAGAAATAATAATATCAATATCTCCATAATAGAACACCAGCTAACCTAGTTCAACTGAATAAGTGAATGTAACCATGAAAAGACATGAAACTATCATTTCAGTGATAAGAAGTATATAGGAATAAATAAGAATGAAACTCCCTATTGTGTAAGTGGTTGTGGAGGCTCCCTCTGGAACTAGAAACTATCTATTGCATAAGTGGTTGTGGAGGCTCCATCTGAAGCAGGACAGGTTGTCACATAAAGTAATTTGCTAGTATCCATGGTCTGATGGAAATTTGTTGGGGTGCTAGCTTTTCTCCTAGGGCAACTATGGCCTCCCCTTGGAAAGTTATTTTTAGCATCATGCTGGCCTTAAAAACTATTATTAAGTAATGTAGGCATGGGCAACAAATTTCTTTTTTTGAAAGGACACTTGGGTGGGCCTTGGCGCAACAGTTGGGTTGCTCCATTTCGACCTGGGTGACCAGGTTCAAATCCTGGAAACAGCCTCTTTGTATGTGCAGGGGTAAGCCTGCATACATCTGTCCCTCTCCAGACCCCACATTGGCGGGAGCCTCATGCACCAGGCTGCCCTTTTACTTGGGTGGGATTTTTTCTCTAAAAGACCATTTTACTAATCTCTATGCTTTATCCTCATACAAATCAGAATTCAGAACATATTTCCAAGTTTTCTATATCCACAGCTTCTAGGTCTTAGGGAAGGGGAGCTTGAATCTGTGATCAACCTCCTGAACATTCTTGAAGCTACCTTCCTGGACTCATTTTACTTGGATAGTAATATTAGGGACAGCCTCACTCTTGGTTACATTCTCTTGTGCTTCATTCTTTTGTGTGCTTTTACATCCCCAAAGTTTGCTAACTCCTCCAATCACAGGTGCGGAGTAGATCAGTCCCTCTCAAGGCAAGGATTTTCTGTTGGGAAATAGTTCTCAGGAAGATAAACACTTATGGCATGTTTCAGATGTAAACTTGAGCTAGGAGGAAGAAGAAGAAGAAGAAGAAACATTTGAATATGTGGGATGTGTAACTGTTCACTCCCACAAAGAAAACTTTATATTAGGTGACTAAATTACATATATGCCCTTAGTTATAGTGCCCAAATACAAATAAATGAAAAAGACAAATGAGCCCCTACAAACAAAACATATTCTCCTCCCAGAATTAGTGCTTTTTGTTGGGAAGCTTTCCTTGAAAAGTGTAACACTTGTGACCTACTTCAAAGAAAAAGGCCTAATTGGTGTTTATCCCCACACTGGGGCATCCTTTGTAAGAAGAATGGTGAGAATTGTTATCACTTACTGGTTTCCTGCCCATTTGTTTCAGAGATCTGGTGTTGGTTTTTCTATCTTTTTGGTTGCAAGTGGACCCCCCCCCCCCTCAAATGTACCAAGCCTATTCCATTCTACTACTGTTAGGGGGCTGAAGAAGAGAGGGAAAATTCTATGGAGATGTGTAAGAGCAGCTGTATCTTGGACAGTCTGGGAGGAAAGGACTCAACAGACCTTTCATGGGAAAGAAAGAAATAAGAGTGTAATCATTGAACTAATTTCTATAAGGGTGGTTCATTGGGTTAAGACTTTGCAACTTTTTGAAAACTATTCAGGAGATATCATCAGGAAGTGGAAAGAAGTGGCTTGGTCAGCTCCAAGGAAGATTTCACCTAACCCAATTTGGTGCCCTCCAGCTTCGGGGTTCACTAAACTAAACTTTGATGGCAGTAGCGAAGGAAATCTAGGCCTGTCGGGTATGGGGGGAGATTTCAGGAATGGTGAAGGTCGAATTATTGCATTGTATTCTAGTTCTATTGGATGGGGGGACTCTCTTAGAGCTGAAATATTGGTTGTTTTGGAAGGGTTAAAAAGAGCTCAAGAGTTAAATATCAGAAAACTGATAGTGGAAGGTGATTCTAAGTTGGCTATAAACTGGCTAATGAAGGATGATTCTAGTTTGTGGAAGTTTCTAAATGAGAAGAAGAAAGTTAGACATCTCACTCAAAACATGGAAGTCAAGTTTCAATGGACTAAGAGGTGTGCCAATTCCTTGGCAGATTCATTGGCCAAACAAGGGGTGGGAAGAGTCAATTTTTTCTGGGCAATATTGTAATCTGAACTGTATTCTTGGGAGGGTTAAGAGTTTTTACCCCTCCTTTTGTATCTTTCTTTATTAATACCCATTAATAAAAGTCTTTGTTATTTATCCAAAAAAAAAAAACAAAACATATTCTCAACACTCCACCTCAAGCTGAGTATAGATATCTATCATGCCCAGCTTGCCAAGATTGTTGTTGAGTTTCAATTTGAGAACCCCCTTGGTCAACAATCAGCTAAGTGGGTGACCTTGATTCTGGTTCCTTCCTATCTTCCAACCTCTCACTACTCCTTCCATGCCTGCCTTAGAGAGATCAAACCATTGAAAACATCTGCGACTAGGATGAAAAGGAAAGGGGAAAAGGGTCACCTGCCTTAGTCCTCCAAACGCTGGGAAAAAATCCTTGACTACCCCATTAACCAATACCGAAAAATGGCAAGAACTTATGCAGCCCTTTATCCAATTACACCATCTAACTCCAAACCCACAACACCCTAGGACCTCTAATAAAAAACTCCAATCCACAAAATCATAGGCCTTTTCTAAAACCAGCTTACAAACAAAACCTTCATTTCCAGACTTTCTCATATCCTCCACACACTCATTAGCTATTAAGATCTGATATGTTATTTGTCTCCCTTGCACAAATGCTCCTTGGGCTTGACTAATGATGGAGGGTAGCACTACTTTAATCCTCAAAGATAACACTTTAGCCAGGATTTTGTAAATGCTAATCACCAAGCTGGTCGGCCTAAAATCTTTAAGATCATTTGCTTCTTTCTTCTTAGGGATTAGAGCTATGAAAGTAGCATCAACTCCAGGGCTTACTTTGTTATTGTCCTCAAATTCCTTAAACACAGCACAAAAGTCTTCTCTTACCACATTCCAACAATCCTGATAAAAAACCATGGTGAAGCCATCTGGCCCAGGAGCTTTAGATATGTCCATTGAAAACACTGCTTGCCTAATTTCCTCTTCTTCAAAACTTCTCTCTAACCAGATTGCTTGCTCTTCAAACAGCTTGGGCCAATTTAGGCCTTCCAGCCTTAGTCTATTATTCAATGCCTTCCCTACAATTGATTTAAAGTGATCCACCAACACTCTGGCTATCTCATCTTGGTTTGTTACTTCCTATCCATCCACTTCTAACCTGGCCACACAGTTTTTTCTTCTCCTCCCATTAGCCAACACATGGAAAAATTTTGTATTGTTGTCCCCTTCTTTGATCCATTTATGTCTTGACTTTTGCCTCCAGGAAATCTCCTCTCTAAGAAGAACCTCTTCCAATTCCTTTTTTAAACTTCTTCTCAAATTCCTTTCTTGCTCATTCATGATTCGTTGAGATTCTTTGGAATCTAGATCATCAATCATGGATAACAAATTATTCTTTTGCTCCTCTATCGTTCCAAAATGCTCCTGATTCCACTCTTTAACCCTGGCTCTCAATCTCTTCAACTTTTTGTGGAACCTTACACCTTTCCACTTTACCCCTCTCAAGTCTTCATTCCACCACTCACCCACCAATCGTTCAAAGTCCGGATGAGTCAGCCACATATTCTCAAATCTAAAGGGCCGTGGTCCAAAGCCTAGAGTTTCTTGACCTAATAGGATAAGGCAATGATCAGACATAACTCTAGGAAGAGTTATGGCCACCAAATTCCTCCAATGATCCTCCCACTCTACATTAAAAAGGAACCTATCAAGTTTGGAGCACAGAGGGTTTTCTTGGAAATTAGACCGTGTAAAATTAACTTGTAGAAGGGGTAACTCCTTTAGACCACAAGTGTTAATTAAGTCATTGAAATTTCTAATGTTTGTAGTAATCGTTCTTTGGGGATTATTTGATTCATTGCAAAACCTGATTACATTGAAATCCCCCCAAGCACCACGGGCCATCCCATAAGCCTTGTATTCCATACAACTCCTCCCACATTTCCTTCCTTTCTCTATAACTATTTGGCCCGCAGACATTAGTTAACACCCAAGTGAATCCGTCTTCCACATTTCTGAATTTTAAAGACACGTAGAATCTTCCTATAAGTTCTTCCACTGATTCTACAACATCCTCCCTCCACAAGGTAACTATCCCTCCCGAGGCTCCCCAAGGAGAAGCTGAAGTCCAGCAAACTCTTCTTGATTTCCACACACTTTTGACCCATCTTCTATCCAAATCTGCCAACTTGGTTTCTTATAACATGACTATATCAGGTTTCTCTCTTCTCAGCAAGTCTTTAATTGCCCTTCTTTTTCTTGCACTCCCTAACCTTCTCAATTCCAACGAATAATTTTCACTATAAGTCTCCTTTCAGACGCCCCTTAATAACCCAGTTCCATCTCACAAAGAACCCCTCCTTCTCTCTCCCCTTCCACTAAACTCGATATCACCCTCTATATCTGAGATTAGTCTCTCCACTTCTGATCTCTTTTTCTTTTTCCTTTGCACATTCCCCTCTGTCTTTTTAGCCAGCCCACTAACTTCACCCACCTCCCCCTCCAACCTAGAGCTTCTATAACACTCCTTGTTCTGAGGATTTGCTTCATGTTCCCCACCATCTAATCCCTCCTCCTTTGCTTTATACTCCTCCAATAATGCACAGATCTACTCGCATATTCTTTCTAACTCTTCCTCCTGCTTTTTCTTAACCTCCAACTCTCCCTCACTCCTCTCACCTTCACCATTGTTAAGCTCTCTGCTTCCCTCCCCGCCTAATTATTCCTCTTTGGATGTTGGAGTATCTGTTTCAACCACAGGAAGAGCATCAATAACTAAAACCGAACAAACAAAAGTACATGCATTGTTGGGGACCAGGTGAGCTTCCAAGGGAGAGGGACCGGCATAGGGAAGCAAGTCTAATCCCGTTTCCTGTGGTCTGATCTACATAGGAGATTTTTCGTAGGATATCAACACTTATCACCTTCCGCAACTGAGTTAGTCTTCCACTACTGTCAGGCTTCAGGCGATACATTACAGACCATTCCGGTAGAGTCTTTCCTTTCCAAACCAAAAACTTGTTCTTCATGGGCTAAAGGGCTAATCTCCCTTGCGAGTATAGACAAAACATGAGTCCCAATCGTACTAGCCTTCTGTCGTTCCATCGTAAACTTCGGGTCTCCCTCAAAACTTTGAGAACCATCTCCCTCATCCTCCTAAAATAGTACTTCTGTTCTGAAGTTGTCTTCCTTAGTGATGTCCTTCGATCTACTTAGATCGATGCTATCCAGACTCACAAAATTGTCCGATTCTAAATCGCTAAAGTCTTCATTCTCAGAGAAGTCTTTCCTTCTTTCCTCTAGATCACTTTGTCTAACACATCTTGGGTTACGCTTTTCTAGCGACGGTTTTTTTAATATTGCCGTCGTAATCCATTGTTTCAAACCTCCAACATGCATAAAGGTTGAACATCCTCCTATTCGGTCTGTTGATCTCGAAGTGGAAGAAGATAGATGGTAATAACCATCTATCGAAGGCACACCCTTAGTCACGTGCCTCTTTAAAATTTTCTCTTTTGGGTTTGGCCCCTAAAATGGGCTCCTTGTGTCCACCTGACCCGCCTTATATGGGCTTAATGTTTGCGGCCCATTGAAGACTTCTACCCCTGATCTTTTATAAGGGCCTCCTTTAGAAAGCCCAGTACCCACCACTTCTGATTTAGCCGGCCCAATTTTTAGAATTCTGGACCCACCAAATCTAGTTTTGTCTTTTCCCCCTGGCCCACCTGTTTAAACTCCCCATCTTCAGCATATTTTCCTAACCCTTTCTGGTCTTCTCGCTGAAAAGCAGGTGTAATTGATAGTTTGGGAATGACGCCACTTGTAACTGCATAGGCATAAGCTTTGGCAGAGGCCCAGTTGCTACCTTGTTGAGCATGTTTCAGACTTTCCTCCTTCTGCAAAGCTTTTGAACTTCTCAAGTTATGTTCGCCCTTTTTTGTATAACCTTCTTTTCCTTGCAGGACCTCCAATCCTTTGCTGCCACGTAGAACTTCATCTTCAACCTTTGCATCTTCCTCCTTTCGAGCTTTCCTCCAAAGTTCAGCTTCCATGGAGGAAGCCAACCAGACCTCCATGAAAGCTCCTTCTACCTTCACATTCACTTTCCTGGGATTATCCCCGGGCTTGACTCCATTCAACAATACAGCTGCAGACCTGAGGTCTCCCCAGAATGCACCATCCAGTTTTGCTCCACACAACACTGCTATCACTTCTGCAACTCCATCCTTCCAAAGATGGAAAGGTAAACCCACGATACGCACTACCACCCCATTTAAAATCGAGGAATCCTTTGAGTTTGAAGAAGGAGACCACCTGAAGATATTAATCGATCCATAATCATCCTGTAGACATACAGCCTCTACTCCAACTTTATTTTCAAGTGGATCCAGCAAGGCTTTGCACGTATCAAAGGGTGTTAGGATATATTTTGTTCTTAGTTTCAAACATTTTGTCAAAGAACCAGCAATTTCCTTCCACCCTCTAGTTGGATTATCGATTTCAACAGCTTGCTTGTTCAATCCCCTCTTTCAGCTGTTACTAACAGAGCTGCGTTAGTTCCAGTTTGCACCAAGGTAGAGTCACGTTGCCTAGGGGATTCAAGATTGACTACTGTTCTTGAAATCTCCTCTTCTTCCTTCTTTTCTGTACCTCTTTTCTTTTCTGCTTTCACTCTGGATGAAAATTCCTTCAGAGCCTTTGCTATCTCAATCCACCCCTGACTCCTCCTTCCTTCAGGAAAACAGACCAGTTGTTTCCTTTCTTGTCAAAGAATTCTGAAAGAGATATGAACAACCCTTTATGATTTCTTCTGCATTCCACCACATATCTTCTTCCCACCTTCGTGGTGAGCTCTTTCCAGCTTCTCTCCTTCCCGCTTGCACTTGCTTTTGCTACAAAGTCTGTGAACCATTCTACCACGTCCAATCCAACCAGCAGTACTAAAGCCTTTTTAGCTTCCCTGATTTTCAAACTAATCTGTCCTCTGATTTTTAGTTCCTCCATCAGAAATCTTTTCGCCTCCACCTTTAGAAATCTCCTCCACCGATTGGCATCCACAAAATTCTCCATTGTAGTCCCCACTTTACTTGAGGAACCTCTAAACACACCACCAGTACCTGCTAGTCCTGAGTTTCCTCCATAACTATCCAGTAGATCTTGTCTGCCCCTCAAACATATTCCGCATCTAACAGATTTCCTATTTCCCTATTAAATCTAATTAAGAAATCCAACAGTAAGAACCATCTATCAGGAGATCCTAAGACATCTTTTGTTTTTTTTTTTTCACTTTTGAAATATACTCTTGTAAGAACAGCCCACCCTATTAATCTACTTAGGGCCAAAAGCTTTGAGATTTTGAGCAACAACTAAGATTCAAGGTTCTTATTCAACCTCAAAATGCGTATTGTGCAGTAAAGACTCCATGAACTGTTGGTAACACCATTAGCCATTTCCAACTCCTCTAATGGCCCCAAGATTGGGGTGGCTCCAAGAATAGGAGCAACAATCAGCAGAGAAGATACAACTCAAGCATCCCACAGTTTGATGATTTCTACACATAAAAAAGGGAAGAAAACAAAAAGGAGGAAGAAATATTGAACTCATTACATTGATAACAGCTTTGGACATAGTTTTGAAAGTGGACCATCTAATCCATAAATTAAAAACAAAAAAATATTTTGGTCCCTTTCTTCTGATATCAAAATCATTTGCTCTTGTGCAGTTGATTGAGGTTACTTTTGAGCTCTTGCAACATGTCATCAATTCATCTTGGCTGCTACAAGCTTTCATTTCTGGAGGAAGAATTTTATAAGATATCCCTCCATTACTTTAACAGATGTGTCTGGGAATAAGGGAAACCTACATTCCGGATAAGACTAGTTTTGATGCAGATTCTTTCCTTCTTTCAATCCTTCACATTTACAGAGTCTCCACCAGTTTTGTTATTAATAATACTCTTAACATATTGGCTGCTATAAGCTTTCATTCCTAGAGGAAGAATTTTAAAAGATATTCTTCCTTTTCCACTTAATAGGTGTTTCTAGGAAGATGGGAAACCTAGTGTAGGGGCAGATTATTACATTCTTTCAGCCCTTCACCTTTAAAGAGTCTTTACTACAGATATGCAGTTTCATTTTCTTTCCTATTTTTTACTTGTAGATAACTGTCAAAACTATTTATAACTTAAAAGAAATTTTTAGTACAATTGAGGGTTAGAAGGTCCTGGATATGAACTTGGGGCTTCTTTTAAATGGATTAGAAGAATCGCAGATGGGTTGGCCGATGCATGGGCAAATAAAGGGTTGCAATGTTTTAAAACGCGAAGGCATGATGCAAGGCATTCCACTACCTAGAGGCATGAGGCGTAGTTCAGAACGTAAGAGGCATAAGCCTCCTTAAGAGGAGGGGGGATGAGGAGGAAGAAGAGGAAGAAAAATCTCATTTTTCTTTATTTTTTAATAAAAATCTTTTATATTAAGAAATATGAAGATGAAAGAAAAAACAAATTGGGGCTGCATTGAAAAGGGGGGGCTGGGGGTCTGGGGGGCGAAGCCCCTGGCCCACTTTCTTTCTCCTTATCTTCCCTTCCCTTTCCGTTTCTTTTCTTTCTTTTTCTCTTTTTTTTCTTCTCTTTCTTTCTTTTCCTTCCCCTTCCCTTTCTTTTCCTTTCCCTTCCTTTACTTTTTTTTCTTTTTTTCTTTATATTTTCTTTTTTCTGTCTTTTTACATGAGGCACGTGAGGCACATGAGGCATAGGCCTCTAGCACGCCTCATGGAAAAAAAAAAAAAAATGCATGAGGCATGCACCTCAGAGGTGTCAATGCCTCTGGCAAACGCCTTAGGGCATTTTGGGGGCGCCTCAGCGCGCGTATGCCTCCCACACCTTTTAAAACACTGAAGGGTTGCTAGAGGTCATTAATATTGGGTGGCTTTGTATGACAATTGGGGGTTGAGCCATCTCTATGGAGCTGGTGGTTGTAATCCATCTTTAAGTTCATTAATTTAATAAAATTTTCTGTTAGTGATTTAAAAAAAAAAAAAAAACTTTTAGTGCAATTCTGAAGTATTGCCTTCCCAAGAGGTGGCTAATCTCATCTAACCACCTTCCCATCCCTTGCCTTGCCAAATCATCAGTAGATTGGCATACCCATTCCAACTCCTGTATTATCTGATTCATTTCTCTTATGATATGTCTATATTTCAAGGGTCTCTCCTGATAATGCAGTTTTTCTATTAATTATACTTTAATATACTCCACATCCTAATGATCACATGCACTCATAAGTGAGGATTTCCCCCTTTGATCAAATAAAAATGTATATATTATCTATCAAATGGTAACTGATGCTCAATTAAAGTAGGTAATATTGCCCGAAAAAAGTTAAAGCAGGTATATGACAAGCACAGCTTCATTAAGGGTCACTGCCAGAAGAGATAAAGAAAATAATGTATTAATATTATTCAATGGTGATGACAATAGAATCTTAAGCATGATAAACATGCAATGAATATACATTATCAACAATCAACCACAACTACTTGCTTACATTCTGTAGTTTGGCCTCCAATTCACGCATTTTCTTCTCAGCTTCACTTGATCGGGCTTCCAAAGCATCCTTTTTTGTATTCTGTGTTTCTACTTCTTTTTTAAGTTTATCAACCTGTGCAAAGAGTAAATTTAAAATAATTCCACCACTTCTTTAGAAGTATAAAATGTTTTTCTCCCATCATAGAGGACCTGTTTCTCAAGTTCGCCTGCCCTTGCATGAGCCTTTACCACCTGCTCTTCAGCATCTGCAGTCCCTTTTCTCTACAAAACACAAGAATCAATTTGTTATAATTAAATGAAGTTGGAGATTTTCTCAATAGCCAGTCAAGAAAAAAAAAATGATTGTCAACATTTGAAAAATATTCCTTTTATCTGTCTACATGGACCATGCAGTTCTAGTGGGGTGAAAACTTTGGGACTATTCACTATTAGATTAGAAATACCATGGTATTATTAAATTACAATGGACCTAATTCAAGACCTGATTTGTAATAAGTTCATATTTGTTTTGCTGAACAAACATTTAAGAAGGATGCTGCTAGGTACAAAGTTAACTTAGATGTTTTAGTTCAAGGTAATTGATCTTGTGGATAAATTCCTCTGCGTTTTGATAGCTATGTTCAGTTCAATTATAAACCTTACCTGGAGCGCATCTATTTCAATCTGTAATGATGCAATGCTATCTGATTTCTCTCTAATAGTCTTTCCCATCTGTGCAATGGTATCATCCTTGCCCTTCAACTCTAGGCTTTTTTCATCAATGCTAGACTCTTCAACAAAAAAGAAATAAAAGGTCATTATATTACATATTTATTTTATCAGATTATATACATATGATACACTCCACAGCACAAGATGTATCACTACTGCATTAAAACCCAAAACCAACAAAACAGACAAAAAGAAAATACTGAACCAAATGTAAGGGCATACTTTCTTTGAGTAGTAATATACTATAACTCAGCAGCAACGCTTATAATTCCATAAAAAAAAAATCCTGTCTCCATTTGTGTAATGAACCATATCTTTAGAAACACTTTTTATGATGCTATTTAAAAGCCAAAGCCAAATTTCCAATAATATGATCATATAAACCCCTGGTAGGAATACAATTAGCAAACCTTTTATTAGGAATACAATTCCTGGGGAAAAAATCACTATTCAAACTTTTTTATTAGCAAACCTTTTATTAGGAATACAATTCCTGTAAATTGTTCATGATGACCGTTTTATGCAGAAAATAATGACATGATATTCAGGTACTTTGCGTTCCCAAAAAGATATTAAAAGAAATGCCCTGTAAAGTGTTCATAGTTACCATTTTATGCATAAAGTAAAGAAATGAACTTCCAGGTACTTTGCTTGAGGTCTAACACAAAAAGATATGAAAATAAATGCATGTTCTTTTGCAACACATCCAAACAAACCTACATTCTCTTTCTCACTCTTGTAAGTTGTAATATAGAAGATCTTAACCATTCCAAATAAAACGAAGAAAAAAACCTCTAAAATCTGCATAAACGAACAAACACGTGTTGAAATCCAACAGAAGTTTTCAGAAATCTCCAAAACTCAAATACTAAAACGAACATCTAACCACCAAACTAAACCTAAAAGACTCCCGGCAAGGGAAAAAAAGGAAAAAGGAGAAAAGAAAACTTCAAATATCAAGGAAAAGATCAAAAATCTGATAACGAACAATCAAAACTGACCTAGAACAGAGATCCTCGATTTAAGCTCCTTCAGTTTGATCAGAGACGAATCAGAGGCTTCCGATACAACAACTTCATCCTTGATTTCTGTCTCTGCCCCAATTCTCACAAAAATTAAGGCTAGAAAAATAGTCACAGTCAATAACTTGTAAGTCGCCATGAAAGCACCACCAGAGCTCTGAGACGAACGAAATTCCTCCCGTTGTTTCAGTTGCTGGTCATAGACCGGAAGTCCGTGTGTGAGCAGTGAAGAACCAAAGCTGGGAGAGAAACAAGAAAATAGATATTTATGTGAAACTTCTTCAATGGACACGTGTTAGTTATATTACCATGAAGTCTGTCTTGGGCACTAGACAGGTGGAGGTTAGAAGATAAAATCGAAATAGCATCAGCACCCCACATGCACATATCAGCGTGCATTGGGAACATCTTCGGTATTTATCTTTTGGAGATGTTCCCAATATACGGTTGGGATGTGCGGTAGGGTGCCGTTGTGAATTCGATAAAATGGAGGTGGCAAAAATCTGCGATGTATATATTCACCGATTGGCACGTGTGTTATAAACAGGACCACAGCTTTTCCACGTGCTAATATTTAGGGAGAAACTTGGAGTAGTTGGACAAATTCTTAGGTCCCATCGAACCGTCCGTCAGATGGGACCTATGACTTTTTGTTTGATGATCAATGTGCATATAGATTATTTCAGTCATTTTATTACAATACCCCTATAATTTAATAGATTTACTAAATTGTTTTACCAAAACATCGTAGAAAATGACAACTTTGGCCCTAACTAAATGGAATCAAAGAAAAATCAAAATAAAAATATCAATTTTATCCCTAATAAGACAGGATAAATCGTTGTATTTACTTTTATTTGGTCAATTTTGTTATTTATTTAACTCTTAAGCATTTTTAACTCATGATAATATTATTATTTTCACAAGGCAAAACAAATATTTCTTGATTAAAGATCGACTAAATAAATAAGTTGTAAATTAAAAGAGTATTTTAGTAAAATAAAAATTATAAAATAAGTTTAAATAAATCCGTAAAACTATAGAAGTGTGCTAGTAAATGAGAGTTCATATCTCCGTCCCACAACACCCCACACCACATCTCTACCGTGTACTAGGAACATCTCTAAATAATAACACCATCGGTTCTATACTATTATCAGGAGATGCTTTTAATACACAGCGAAGATGTAATGTGGGGAATTGTGGGGAGTTCACATCTGCCCCCCACAAGAGGGTGTCCCACATTATCCCACAGCACATCCCCGTTGTGTATTGGGAACATCTCTCGATGATAGTACCAGTCTCGACAATATCATCATCGGGAGATGTTACTAATACACGGCGGGGATGTACTATGAGACATAAATCTGAACTCCGTTGTGGGGTGGAGATATGAACTCAGTAAATGACCCCCGATTGGATGCGTCTACTTAATAAGAGTTTTCTGTGCCCCACAAGTGCCTAACACTACATCCCAGTCGTGTATTTGAAATATCTCTCATACTTGGTTGAGATGTATTGTGCGGCACTTGTGGGGCGTAGATGTAAATTCACTCAATGAACCGTTCAATTTTGACGGTAGGAAGTGGACGATCAATGAAATTATGAAAGTGCTGCTCATTGATGATGGACGTTCACGGTTTGTGACGACCCAATTACTTTGATTGACCTTAGTTATTTACGTTTACGCTGTATTTGGTTAAAATGTAAATAAAATTGCATTGATGTAAAATTATGACAGTGCAAATGATTTGATTATAAACTTGCACTGCAAACAAACACGGCCTTGTTTACGCACGTGAATATTACCCATCCAAAGTCGAAGATTCTGGAGGTCATTGTCGTTGGATATTTCAAGGCAAGGTTGATCCTACGGCTGGCATAATTCTATTTGGTCATACCCGAGATGCCATATTTTGACTTCAGTTCTACAGGATAGAGGAGCAGGATTTCATCTGCTATGCAATAAAGATAAAAAAAAAAAATTCCGATCCAACGGAACTGGGTAGAATCTTGACTTATAAGGTGTTACATTGATGTGAACTAGTGGATCATTTCATTTGATTCCTCTACAGCTCTCCTTGTGTAGTCCCTATTAATGAATTATTTTAAGTTGCCTTCTGACTTCTGAGCAACCACGGGTGTCACGTGGTCTATCTAACGCCTTGATTCCTCGAACTCTAATTATATTACAAAATTAATTTCAATTTATTAACTGGATGTTATAGGTGATTTCCGAGGGTTGAATTGAACAATAGATGAAAGTCCAAAGGGATGTCGTATACTGTTGCTGTGTATCAACGGAACTAGCCTGGTAGATGATATGAGGGAAAGGTGAAGTGGTAGGTGGGCTATTTTTCAGTCAAGGCCCATTTCATTTTGTATACGGATCTACTGGTAATGCCGGCCAAGTCATGACTCATGATAAACAAGTCAACTCCATTGCTGTGTACTCCAATTTCATTTTGTCGTCTATCATGACACCAAACAAAGCTTCCAAAACCAGCGGTTAGAAAAAAAAAAAAAAAAGGAAAGAGGAAGCTAAGATGGAGTTGGGATCTCCTACCTTTCAACACCCTACCAACTTGATGTGATACTCTACATCTTGCTATGATACCAGGGCCCATCATAAAAGTGGGAATTGTCATGTATGAGATGTCTGGTGTATGATGATGTTAGTAGGGTGTTGGAATGTATTTTCCTTTGATCAATTGATGAATAATTGTTTTTTCACATCTGTAAGATCCACTCACAACAGAATCCAGATTATTAGCTCGACTACAGGTTTCACTCAGGAGACTCCCTTTCACTTACCTTGGCATTCCAATTGGTAAAGGCGGATTATGCCCATTAGACTTTGATGATTTGGTGCAGAAAATTGTAGCTAAAATCTCTATATGGAAGAGTAAAATGCTTTCAGTGGATGGTAAGCTTTGTTAATTTGACATGTTTTGAATAGTATACCTATTTATGTGATGTTGACAATAGCGATTCTAAAGGAATTCTAGGGGTGAGCATCCGGTTTGTTCAGTTGAAAACCAAACCAAATAAATCGAAATTTTAAAAACCAAATTATAATAATGAAAACCGAACCAAAATCGAACTAGAGGAAACCGAAATAATCGAAATTGAAATTTTCGGTTTAGTTTTCGGTTATTTCGGTTAAAACCAAATTTCAAAAAAAGATATACTATATTATCTATTATACATATCATAACATATGATATATAAATATATATTATGAAATCAAATTTTATTTTATTATATATTAATATATATATATATATGTATATATATTATACATTAAATATAATATGTTATATATTACATGCTATATATCATAGTTTGGTTAATTCGGTTTTTTTGGTTAACCAAATTTCTAATTCTAAAAATCAAAATCGAAATATTTAAAAAAAAAACTGAACCGAATTAACCAAAAACCAAAATAACCTAACCAAAACCAAAATTTTTAGTTTGGTTTTTCGGTTTTAATTGAATAATGCTCACCCCTAAGGGAGTTATTAGGCAAACTGAATAGTTGATGAAAAGTTTCTTGTGGACCAAGGCTAGCATCATTGGGTGGCCTAGGAGAAGATAGTTCGGCCTTTTTAATGAAGGTGGGCTTCAAATTAAAAGTCTACATGTGGCGTGTTCTTTTTCATAACTCCTTATAGGAAAATTTTTTTAAAGCCAAGGTGCTAAGACATGAACATTTTTACAGAGCTAATTACCCATGTTACACCTCCCAGACTTGGAAATTAAATTTGGATTTAAAGGAGGATTTGGTTAAGCTTTCTAGGTGGATGGTGGATAGAGGGATGATCAGTTTTTGGTTTGACAAGTGGTTAGAGTGTGGCCTGCTGTGTTTGATAAAGTCACTCAAGTAAAGGGGCTTAATCTTCAGTTACAAGTTTGTGATGTCCTAGATGAGGGGGGAATTTAGCACCTAGACTAGGTTCGAAATTTCTTAACGGAGGATGTTCTTAACATGATTCAAACTTCAGATGCTAGGATCTCTAATCACCCAAATAAAACTGTGGTTAGCTGAATTGAAGGGTGAATTCTCTCTACACTCGGCCTAGTCCTTCCACAACTCTAGTCATCATCAATCAGTGGATTGGCACAAGGTGGTCTAGAATGTTGTAGTCATAACAAAGGTGAGCATCTTTATCTGGAAAATTCAGGTCGGTGAGGTGGGTGTGGATGCTGATATAAGAGAACTAGGAATTCCATTGGTGTCCAAATGTTTTTGTTGTTGACATCTATCAGTGGAGGATGTTAATCATGTGATGGTTTGTAGCTGTTTTGCTTGGAAAGTTTGGTCTTACTTCAGTAGATTGATGGGATTGCCTTTTAGGGGTGATGAAAGTATCAATGAGCTTTTTTTTATTGGTTTGAGAAGCCTCTAGATTTTGGAATCAATGGGTTTGTGGTGGGTCTAATAGCTTGTTTTGCCGGTTGGGAGATTTGGAAGGAAAGAAATAGACACAAGATGGAAAACAAGTTCCATTGTTCTCAAACTATCATTTGGGTGGTAGTGAGGTGGATCTATGAGGTTTTTCCCTTGCTGAATTTTGAGAATGGGGTGAACTTTAATCAACAGATTTTTTTGAGAGGATTGGGGTTAACGATCCAACCAATCAGTGGAAGAAGTGTTAAGGTGGTTAATTTGAATTTCGCACCTGATGGTTATATGAAACTTAATGTTGATGGTGCATCTAGGGGTAATCCTAACCCTTGTGTGAGTGAAGTGGGCTAATTATAAATGGAGAGAACGATTTCGTTTGTGCCTTCTTCAACAGCTATGGTAGTGAGACAAATTTGGTTGCAGAAGCTTCGGCCTTGCTAGATCGTTTGCGCCTTGTGGTAACTTTGGGGTTAAAAAGAATTATCATAGAGTTGAATTGTAAAATTTTGATTGATATTCTTAATGGAATTTGTACAACCCCTTGGAATCTTTGGTATTGGTTTGTATCAGTTAAAGGGCTTAGGAGTAGGTTGGATTTCTTTTGTGTACATATTTACAGAAAAGTTAATCATCCAACGGATGCTCTTACAAAACTCGATTGTCTATCTTCACAACAAATAGTTTATGAGTCCTTTGATAGTCTTCCTTCACATGTACAAACATTTATTACTGTAGATGGTCTTGGTATTTATTTTTTTTTTTGAGAATTCATTAATTTTAGGCTACCCGGACAATTTTCGTTATTTATGAGCTGGGTTTCCTTTGTGTATAGTTTCTCGAG